ACGGCGGGTGAGCTTGCTAGGTGCCTGCGCCTGTAGCAGGCCCCAGTGCCAGCTTCCTTCCTCCCTCGATCCAGCGCTGGGATTAGGAGGGGTGGGATGGGGCCTTGAGAGAGTGCGTGGGGGGAGGGGGGGGAGAGAGAGAGAGAGAGAGAGAAAGAGAGAGAAACAGAGATAGGCAGGCAGAGCTGGGGAGGGAATTGGCTCCCCAACTCTCACCTCTCCTCTCCCGAGTTAGACCACGCGTCTGGCTGATCAACTCACCAGCCCCTTGGCCAAGGCGTTTTGAAGCCTTGGAATACAAGACTAATAATTAATCACAGTCATTAATTAATTAGGGAGAAAAGGGAGGAGGTGGTTTGCTTCTGCTTAACCCCAAACAGTTTAAATCAGGCTTTGGGAGAGGGAGGTGGTCCCCAAGGCACGCCCTCCCCCTTCTCCCGGTTCTTCCTGGTTCAGTCTCTCAGCATTTCCATGATAATTCTGGGCATTGGGGGGGGGGGTGAGTTGCACACACACCCCCTCCAGTCCTTCCCAGCAAACCGAGGCCAAGCTGGCTTCAGCTCTGGAGCCGGCTGCCGCCCACGGCACGGAGCTCTTTCCCACCCCAGCAACTCCCACCTGCTTTTATTTTTTTTTTCTCTGCACCTGCTGCGGGTTTTCTCCCTGAACTTCAGAAATCAAGTAGTTGCCTAAGAATTCGTTCTCTCTCCCTCTCCCGCTCTCCCACTCTCTCTTTGCTTTTTCCTCCCTCTTGCTGGAGACTGGAGTCCCTTCTTTGAAACGGTGCAGCTAATACGGAGTCATCAAAGCACTATGGTTCTTGTCTTAAAGTGACAGCCCGCTTTATGGGGCTGTTTGAAATACTCCCCCTCCTTTTCAATGTCTCTCTATCCATCTTTGTCTGCTCTTCAGAAAAGAGGACAATATAAAGGCTGGCCTGGCGAGCTCCCCACGCTCAGGCCTGGGCAGTGCCAACCTCCGCCTTTAGGCAGCTTGAAATTGTCACTGCTTCATTAATCTGAAACGGGCCCCTTTCCGAAGCCCACAGTACACACTTCCGATCGCTCGGGATTCGCCCTGAGGTGCTCCGGCAGCCTTCCTGGGGCTGGGATTTGGAAGGCTCCGTGCAAGTCCTGGGAGGGCTCAGGGAAACAGAGTTGGGAGAAGGGCACTGCCATCAGGGAATGCCGGGGGCACGACACCCTGCCTGCAGAGAGTGCAGGGCACCCAGCATTTTGGGGGTGCTTTTGAGACTAGGGAGTGTGGCCCAGGCACTCGGAGGAGAGGGGACTGTGGCTTCCCAACGTCTTTCCATGTTCTCCCACCAGCCCCCGAAGAGGAACTCTGCGTCCAAGTCTGTTTTAGAAGTTGGGCTTTTGTTGCGTTGGAGTTTGGGGCGCTCACTTTTCCACCCAACCTCCTCCCATCATCATTCGTCTCTGGCCCCTTCCTGTTACGGCCTCCACCCCAGGGGTCCCTGGAATGTCCCACCTTCTTCGAGGCCAGCTACGACTTTCCTCCACACCTCCACCATGACAAAAGTCAATACAAGGATATTTCTGCTTTCCATATCTCCAGCAGGTTTAGCATTGCAAGCTTTTGGATTCTGTTCTATCTAATTCAGGGAAGAGACACAGACTTTTTTTTCTCCCTTAAAGAGAAGCCTAATTTTCAGTAAAGTGAGCCTAAAGATTTATAAAATAGATTTATATTAAATTATGCTAATAGAAGTCTAGCAAATGCACCATTTAATTGCACAGAAAAAATGATCCCTTTTAAAAGGTCTGTCACTTCACAGGTACGCGCGAAGATTCCCTGTGCATAATGGAAGTAGGAACAATTGCTCGCTGCACCGGCATTCTTCGCTAGGACAGCGCAAGGCTCTGCTTGGAGGAGGAGGGAGGAGCTCTCTTTAAAGAGCGATGGCTCCCGGAAACCTGATTTCCTCCAGGGTCCTTGTCCTTCTCTCTCACACCCTTCCTGAAGGCTGGGCTGGGGTCCTGCCCCCAGAGCCCTGCACCCTCTGGGCTCCCTCCCAGTTCAACTCTCCTCCCCTCTACCCAAGCATCTTCCCGCCTCTCTGAAAGGAACCAAGGAGTGCCTCCAAGAGTGAGTAGGAAGAAGGAAGCGAAAACCTGTTGAAAATTAATCCCATCTACACAACTACCACCTCTCGCACACACACGTAGGCGCATTGCACGCATGCATCGCACCCATGCACGAACACACACTTGCCCACATATATGCACGATGCACGCATGAGTTACACACCCACACTCAAGCCCACACTCGGGTGGGGGAGGAAGGTAAAGTGAAGGAGGACAGAAATGGAAGACTCCACAGCTGCAAGTTTTGGGCCTCTCCTAAAACTCTCGGATCTCTCTGTGGGGGGTGGAGTGGCGGTGTGGTAGGGAGCTAAGACCCTGAGCGGAGGAGGTGCACCCACACCTGTGCCCAGGCACACCCCAGGCGCGGGCTGCCCCGTCGCTCTCCGGGGCTGCTCTCAGTGTCAGGCCCTTGGCCTTGGGCTTGTGGTGGTCAAGGAGCGGGAGGACAAAGGGGAAAGGGCTCTGAGCGTCTGGGCTGGGCCAGGGCACAGGGGTGAGAGGTCGTGCGTCGGCTCTCCACCCCGGACCTCTTCCAGGCCACCCAGGGCCGCGTTCTCGCCGAGGACTCAGCCACAGCCCTGACCCCTGCGCTCACGTCCCTGCTCCTGGTGGAACAAGTCCTACCCTAACTCTCACTTTCATTTCTGGCTCGGTGCGCATTCCGCGTCCGGAGCCTCCGAGTGGTGCACACAGGGCACCCCGTGTGGTGCGCGGCAACGTAGATCTGCCTCTGTTTTCCGGGCAGGGGCCCGTTGCCCCCTGGAATTCAGGCGGAGAGACCCTCGCCCCTGAACGCCTCCTCTGTAAGAGGTCCGGGAAGCGCCGCGTGGAGCGTTGGCTCTCACGACTTCTAGCAGAGTGCGCGCCTCTAAGCCTTGCGCAGGCGCTTCTAACCTCAAAGAAATCAGACTCCGGATTCCCGAAGAAGCCTCGTTCTGCCTTCAAAATCATCCACGGGTTTGGGGGGGGGGATAGGGAGGGGAGAGAGAAACCTGAATGGAGTAAGAGACCTCACGCTCCCCTGCATAGGTGACAGAAGGTCCCCTCTGCGTCGAACGTCCTGGAAGTTTGGGGGACCGCTGGGAACCCTGACGGACGAGCACCGTCCAGGTGGTTAGCTTTGCCCGCGTCTTCTTCCCTCCGGGGAGAAATACGTCGCCTACTCGGCCTTCCCTAGGGACTTTCCCCGAAGTTGGGCGCGGAAGGGAAGAGTTGGAACTATCCAAGTGGCCCAAAAGCGGCCGAGGAGGTCTGGAGCAGCGGAGCCGGGCGCTTGCGAGCTGCCAGCGCCTGGCTCCACGCCCCGAGCGCGGGGCCGAGGGTCCGGCCCGGCGGGGCGCAGGGCCTGGAGTCGGGGCTGCTTGCAGACTTGAGAGAGAGCCCGGCCGGGTGTGGCCGGGTGTGGGCGGGAGGGGGCGGAGGGGTCTGGCTTTGGGTAGGGCGCGCAAAGCGGCGGCGGGGGCGCTTTGTCCGTGGTCCTGCGATGCCGGAGTTATTCCCCTCCAACGACCGCTCCCGGCGTTCGCGGCGCCCTGCTCTCACCCCTGCTCTCGCGCGCCAGGGGCCTGTTTTGGGGGTACAGGGGAGACCCGGGCCGTTAGGAAGGCGGGGGCCTGCACCTCCTGCCCTCGCGGCGGGCAGGGCGAGGGCACGGGCTCTGTGATTGGGAGCCGGGAGCCAGGGAGAAAGGAGCAAGAGACCTAGGGGCGTGAGTCTCTAGGGCCGGAGCAGGGGTGGGCGAGCAGGACCCCGGCCGGCCCTCGGCACGCAGCGGCCGCCGCGCGCTCCTCGCTCGCTCCGGCCTGGCCCCGCTGGCAGGTGCCTAGGGGATCTGAGCGCGGGAGCTTGATGTGTGTGTGTGTGTGTGTGTGTGTGAGAGAGAGAGAGAGAGAGAGAGAGAGAGAGAGAGAGAGAGAGAGAGCGAGCGCGAGCCGCGGCCACCTCGCCGTTCCCTCCCCTTTCTCCTCCCAAACTGGCTTTCCGACGGCGTTAGACCTCGCACCTGGCGAGGTTTCACTTCCAGAGAGTAAACGGGACCTGCAGGAGCTGTGTCTGTGTGCTGGAATTTGCTGGGTGGGTGGCGGCGTCCTCACAGTAGGGGTGGGCGAGCAAGACCCCGGCCGGCCCTCGGCACGCCCGCCGAGCGCGCTGGCCGATCGTAGCCGTCCCAGCGCGGGGGTCGGGGTCTTCTTTTTTTTTTTTTTTTGGGGAAAAGTTCCAGGTTTAAAGGGGAGGGGGCCCGGTTGGCCTCCGGGGGGGGGAGCTAGAAGGATTTTTGGGGGGGGGGGGGGGGGGGGGGGGCAGGCCTGCAGGTTCTCGCTGGCCATGGGCAGGGAAGGGCTGGGAAACTAAGTAACTGAAAGCAGGAGACTGGGGGTGTCGGGTGGGGGGAGGCACCCAGGCCTGTCGGAGGCTCTGAAGTTTCAGGCAGAACACTTCCCTGTCCACGAATTTATTTTCTCGGCACTGAGGGAACTCTGCTAATTTCTGAGTTGGACGGACAGCCAGGAACTCTGTCTCCCGGTGGGATGCTGCTCTTCACAAACCACTCCTGGTGCGGATTCCTTCACTCTGCTCAGGGTTGGGACCGAGAGGGGCGAGGAAGAAGAGGGCAGGAGGGGATCGCCACACTCCACAGGGATTGCCGCCGTGGGGTCGCTGGCGGTGAAGGCTGGTGGAGAGGTGTGGGCCGCCCATCGTGAGAAGGGGGGTGCCCCTTGCTAGGAGGCCTTGTTACCAAAGGTGTCTAATTGACAGAAGTTCAAGTCACACAGGCAACCTGCAGAGCCACTGCTCCCCCAGCCCCCAAGCCTTAGTATCTCCCTTTGAAGCCCCCAGCCATGCCTTTCCCTGGATCCTGGGGCGGTGTCGGGGCGGAGCAAACACCACAGATTTAAAATCCTGATTTTACTTCATTTATTTAAATAAATATAAATATAGATTTTATATAAAACTATTCACATACAAAGGGATTTCCAGCGACTTGCATTTGAAATTCTCCCCCAATTTTCAGAAAGTCAGACCTACAGGGTTTAATTCTCTAAATCATTTGCAACTTCAGTGTTTTCATTTTTAACCAACAACAACAGGAAACAACCACGAACTCCCACCCGCACTCTTAGAAGGTTCTGAAGGACCACAAGTATGGGGAACCCACAGGCACTTTCAACAACTGCCCTACAAGGTGAAGCTGACCCTGTTAGATGATGAAACCTAGAGAAGGCGCAGGCCCAGGGTGTGCGTCGGGAACTTCTCTGTCCCTTCTTCCTCCAGATGGGACCACAGTCGCAGGCCAGGATTGGGGGTCCCCCACACTGGTGGTGCAGGGGCTGCCCGGGGAAGTGGTGAGAGAGGGCAGGACGGCGCACCCTCATAAGGGGGAGATGTCCTTGTCCTCGCTGGCAGAGGCTGGCGACAAGGAGTCCTCCCCCTCGGAGCGCGCATAGAGCCCCTGGCTACTGACGCACTTGCAGCCCGCGTGACTGTTCCTCTGCGTGCCCTTCCCCTCCTTCTTGTGTTTCACGCGGCGGTTCTGAAACCAGATTTTCACCTGCTTCTCCGACAGGTTCAGGTACGTGGCGATTTCGATCCTCCGAAGTCGGGACAGGTACATGTTGGACGAGAACTCCCGCTCCAGCTCCAGGAGCTGAGTGCTGGTGAACGCCGTCCTCATCCTCTTGCCATTGGGCACCTGGCTGGCGTCGGAGCCACCTGTGGGCCGGGAAGAGAGGTGAGGCCTGGGCGAGGCGCCCCCACCCCACAGGCCACCCCCAGCAGGGACGCCTCTCCAGGGCCCTTCCCAGACCAGCACCTGTGCCCTTCTCCAACCTTTCCCCTGGTCATGGCCTGGCTGAGCTGGGGGAGGAAAATATGCACACACACACACACCCAGCAAAGTTAAAAGGCTCTGCTCAGGACATAAAGTCACAGGATTAATGGGTGGTGGGCATTTATTTGCCCTAGGCTAAATCGCCTCCCTTTGAGCCTATCTGAGACGCGTTGCAGTCTCAGCCAAAGCTTGGAAGCGCTCTGGCCGGCCAAGAGAGGGAATGCCACACTCCACTGGGATGCAAACACACCCACCCTTCCACCCAGTTAACAGCCAGCCTCTCGCGAGTTCACGGTCCAGGTCCCAGAGGCTCCGATATCGCGCAACCCCCCCGCGCACCTGCTCCTGAGATTGAAGCGCACCAGGCTGCGTGGACAGGTTGCCAAGCCACCTTCCACCTTCGCGGCGCTTCTCCGGACGACTCCACAGTCACAGTGGAGGCCCCTCCTCCCTCCCCACTCCGCCCCCCACCCCGGGCTCCCCCTTCCTCCTTCCCAGGCGGAAAGTTTGCTCCCGGGAGCGCGTAGGGCGCGGCGCGCAGGTGTCCCGGGGCCCCGCCCTACCCATGGCGAGGCAGTGGAATCTCCTCGGGTCGGCCACGTTGTAGCTGGTGGCGGCGCAGACAGGTGCGTGGTGCTGCGGGTGCCCTAGGGCCGCTGCAGCCGCAGCCGCCGCCGCCGCTGCCGCCGCCGCTGCGGCCGAGCCGGGCTGCTGGGGCTGGTGGTGGTGATGGTGCCCATGGCTCACCCGCGGGCAAAACTGCGACTCCCCGGGGCCCGAAGGGAACTGGCCCTTGAGCAGGGGTAGGGCCGCCGCGGCCCCCGCCGCCCCGCCGCCCCCGGCCCCCGGGCCCCCGCCGCCTCCGGCGCCCGCGGGCCCGCGCGACGAGTGCAGGTGCGAGGTGACGCAGAGCGGGCACACACAGAAAGCGCCGCTCTTGCGGGACGGACAGCCGGGCCCGGGCACCGACATCACCAGCGGGGACTGCATGCCCAGCGGGAGGAAGAAATCCGGCCCGGGGTGCGGCTCCGGCAGCGAGGGCGCGGGCCGCGCGGAGTCCTTGATGATGAGCGAGTCCACATAGAAGGAGCGCGACATGGCGCGCGGGGCGGGGGGCCGAGGGGCCCGGCGGGGACGCGGGGGTGGCGGCGTCTGGGCGGCGAACAAAGGGGTCCCCGGAGAGGGCTGGTCCTCGCGTCCCCCGCGCGGCGCCCCGGCTCCGGGGTTTTATAGCCCCCACCCGGCACGTGACGCCGCGGCGCGCGGCTCGGCTCCGGCGGCCCCGCGGCTCCCCACCCTCGGGATAGGCTGCCCGAGTCGCAGCGGCAGTGGCGAGGAGGGGCGGGCGCGCGGCGGGGAGGCCGCGGGGGAGGGGAGGGCCACTTTGCCAAGTGTAGGTTTTGTTAATTTCCCGGGGAGGCCGGCCTCCTCCCCCTCTTTCTCCACGCTCCCCGGAGGAATCGCAGCGCGGGGCGTCCCCCCTCCCGCCCCAGCCCGGCCCCTCCCCGCGGCCCGCCGCCCGGCCGCCAGGTGGGCACTCGGGGGCCTTTGGAGCGCGATGCCCAGCGTGCTCGGCGTCGTTGGGCCAGGCCAGCGTTCTGGGGCAGGGCGGGGTGCGGGCGTGCAGGCCCCGAGCGCGGCCTGGTTCGCCGTCGCATCGCCCCCCGTCTCCCGCTTTGGGACTTGGTGAAAGTCGGTCAGGTGTTCGGTTCCCGACAGATCCGGCGAGTCAGAGCTCGGGGTCCTCCTGGGGCCACTCTGACCAACGACCCTCTCCCCGTGCCCCCTTCCGACGGGCATCTCCCCCTGCGCACAGAGAGACGTTCTTTCTCCAAGTAGCTCCCCCAGCCCCGCGCCGCCCCGCTCCAAGTCCAGGCCAGCCATACAACCTCCATCCCGAAGATTTTTGAGAAAGGACCTCGCACGCCAGCCCTCCTGGAGTTGGGACGGCGCTGGGGTCGGGGGCAGAGGAGGGAGGACTGCGCTCTGGCGACTTCCTGCTCTTCTTATTTCTGCCCTTCTTGGCCGGGCTCCCGGGGGAACACTCTCCCCTCGGCATCCCCGGAACCTAATAGGGATGCAGGAGTTGAGCAGCCCAAGGAACCCTTCCCCCACCCCCACCCCGGGGAGAAGTGGCTCAGTTAAGGACGTCTCTGGTGCTGCTGGCCACTGGGGGAAGACTCCCCAGCTCTCTGAGTGGGCAGTGGGGCCTGGAATGGCTGATCTTTGGGGGGCGGCCAGGTGTTGGAGGTGACAGCTTTTCCCTGCTGAAAACGGCAGGAGCTGGGAGACTGAGCAGCGGCTGCAAGTGCAGCTCTTTTCCGGAAACAGTAACTTCAGCCCCGAGTCCAGGACGGTGCCAAGGAACTCGGAGACAGAACTCCCCACACCTGAGAGGACAAAGTGGCCCAAGGGCACCCGGGGAGGCTGGCTTCGGCTCTCCTCTCTCACCGCTGTCCCCTGGCCACGTGTGTCTGAGATGGTCTCTTGGCTGCTGGAGACGCGTAATTGGGTTGCAGGGATGCCCCGCTCTGGGGAGCCCAGGATTTATGGATGGCAATTAAAGTTTTATGAATTGCAGCTGAGGCTGGTTATTGAGCTATTTGAATGTGATTAGAATTCAATTAGAAAGCGGTTAGTGGACGGTGGGTCTCTGGAGTGTAAACAGACAGCTATTCCAGAAATGTGCTAATCCAACATCTTGTGACAACAATTAGGGAGTCTTGGGGCTGAACTTGGGGCAGTTCAGCTGTAACTACTTTTGCACCACAAGGCTTGCCTAGGCGGCCTTTGCAGGCAGCCAGCCTCACCCAGCCCGCCCCGCCTGGCTTGGACGGTCCTCGCTCACGACCAGACAGTGCCCCAGATCATTCCAGCTCCAGCAAGACAGAGCCCAGTGGCTGAGAGAGGCTGAAAGGCTGGCTACTGTGTGTGTGTGTGTGTGTTTAACAGATCTAAGTGGCTCAAATAGATGACTCAGTTTCTCGAATTCATTCTGTAAATTTACATGCAAGAGGGCTCTTCCAAGATGCATATTATTCAAAAGGTATTACTAATCACACATGCGTAGTATGAAATTAGCATGGATTCCAAAGCTTTTTGCACAAAAATGCATCTTCTGTGCACTTTATGCCTACATGTATGTTTGTGCATATGTGTATAGTGTGTATATAATCGTGGAGACTGGCAGCTGTCCTTCCCCGGGGGTAAGTATTAGCTGGTAGCCCAGGGTCTGCTTTGGGCCCGTGGTCTCAGTTACAATGTTGCCGGCAGTTCAGGGTGTGCCTTCCTGATGTGCTAGAGACCACACTAGTGCTGCAGCCCAGTTTGTTTCAGAAAATCTCAATGAGGTGAGAAACAGCGATTTCTGCTGGACTCCAGAAACACTTGGTTTCTGGCGCCAAGAAACTTTGAGGACGGGAAGGGGCCGGTGTGGCTGCACGGGGAGCAGCGGCTGGGGGCCACGCTGAGGACAAAGGCAGGAGAAACGTGCCCGTTCGGGTACGGGTACGCGGTGCCTGGCTGGAAGCTCCAAGGGCAGCACTTGGGGTCCCCTCCAGCGTGGCGCCTTCTCCCTTGCTCGCCTCTAGCTCTCTCTATCGCTCAGTGTCTCCCAGCTCCTCTCCTTCCTCCTCCTTGAATCCAGTTCTGTTTTCATGAGCCCCCCTGCCCCTAAGCCTGCCTGCTGGGACCCAGGGCAGCATCGACTCCAACCTGCTCAGATCGGAAAGCTCCCCCCACCCCCAGTTTCTTCCTTGAGGGAGAGACCGACCGCTGGCGTGCGCCCACAGTGCCCGCACCACCGCACAATTTTATTTCTCAGTGATTCTGTCCGATAAAATTTCATCGTCCATTAAGTAATCCCCAAAATGAGAGCTCTTATGAGCCTATAATGAGCTCTAATTGCCACGACTTGGGGAGCCACGTGGAAGGATTTATTCGGTATTAAGCAGTCGGGTACAGAGTACAGGCTGTTACCTAAGCCTTTACTTTCATAATTCAAGGAGAAAATCGGTTCTTTTAAGGAGAGGGGGCAATCTTCAGGATGACAGAGGATGGCTTTGTCCTCCCTGAATGTAAGACAGCGTCACAAATGCACAGGTGACAACCTTGTTCTCTGCACCTCCTCCCGGCCAGAGCACCCCACTTGGAAAAAAGCCCCCGGGGAGCAGTGCAGCCAAGACCAGCCCCGCCTCCTCGCTCCCGGAGGCTCAGACCTGAGCCGGTGAGTGGTTTCCTTGCAGCTCAGCCTAAAGATTTGCACCCTTGGTTCTGGCTGTGCCCAGTCTTCCACTCCTCTGGGGGACGGCACCCGACCTGAGCCCCACGCTCCACTCTCCCTCTACTTCCTTCCAGCTCGGTTTCTGTCAGAGAGCCGCGCGGGGACCACGTCTGGCTCCTTCAGCGAGTCAGGGTTCTGACCCGAGGTGTGCACAGCCCTTTCTCAGGCTACAACTCCCACTCGGCCTTAAGTGCTCCCCCCTCCCCAAGCCCAGACCCCCCCTTTTTTCCCCTCTTGGTTTCCGAGCTGGCCCACAAGGTTCTGTGCACACGGAGGCCGCGAGCCGGGCGGGACAGGCGGGAGTTGGTGGGGCCGCCTCGGATTTATTTGCTCCTCTTACATTGATTTCATATTAGTCTCCAAAGCGATGAATGATCTCAAAGCTGGGTTTTGTTAGCCGAACACAAACAGGAGACAGGACTTACTTGCCCCCAGCTCCCTTTAATGAGGTCATTATCAAAGCGTGAACAAGTCTATGAATGTTTTATTGAAAGTGCATCGTTAACTTGTATCCATCCTTTTCTCCGGAGTGGCATTGTGATATTGCTGTCTGTGGCACATCTTACCCGATATAGCCCGAGATTTCCCCATTCTCTGTAACCAGGCAACCCTTTCTGAATACCCAAAAATTGAAAAGAACCGCTTAGTCTTCAAGAAAGTCCTCAATAATAGTGGAAAAGAACAAAGATCCAGGAGGCAACGAAATGCCACAGGGGTGACTTTTCATGAGCAATTATGTCTCATTAATCAGAAGAACAGCTGCAATATTAATTTTCTCTCTTTCTTCCCCTCTTTTCACAGTCCCCAACATTTGAATAATCATAAATTTTGATTTTATGAAGGAGTCACATTTCAGGGAGCTACAGGGAGACAGCTACCTAGGTGCAGACAAGGAGAAAACTCTCTCATTTTATCTTATTTTATTTATTTATTTATATATATATTTTTTTGTTTGGGTAAAGCTGCCAACAAAGCAACATGAAAAAAAAATAAATAAAAGGATGGCCAGGGTGCACGGTCCTCCCTCCGCCTTTTCTTCCAGGCCGCCGCTGAGAAGCGGGACCCTCCCGACCCGCCCCCACCCGGCCCGGGCCCTCCGCTCAGTGGGCCGGGAGCGGGGCGGGGGACAGGTCCCCGGCGTCTGGCGTGGGAGTTTCGGCTGGGTTTCTGGGTTTCCGCCCGTTTAACTTGCAGGCTGGAGCCAAGCGCCGTGGACTTGGCCAGAGCGCCGCTCTTAGGGGGCGCTGGCCTTGGGGCCAGACGTGCGTGCCTGGGGCGGACGCCGGGCGCCCGCTCTCCGCGCAGGTGCAGGAGAGGCGCTGCCCCGCAGGACGTGTGGCCAGCCTGGAAACGGAGGGTCGCCCGGTGAGGCTGCGGCCTGCCCGCCTGCTCGGGGCCGTGAAAGCCGCACGCGAGCTGGAGAGCCGTGCCCCGCATTCCCAGGCTGGCCGTTTGCAGTGTGCACGCAGGCCGGGCGGGTGCGTGGAGAGGGTCGGCTGCGGGCCCCTGCGCGCTCCGCGCCGACGGCCTTGGCGCTCCGCTCGGCTCTCGGCGGGGAAGGGGGCTCGGGCTCTGCGTCGCGGGAGCGGCCGGGTCCGGTCTCTGCGCGGAGGCACCGGGCGCCGACCACACCGGCCCCTCTGCTCCCCGCTTCACCCTCATTAATATTCCCCCACCCCCAGTTCCCCAGGCTTAACAAAGCGTCCGCTCCCACCCCCAAAGCCCTCCTCTGTCATCCGAATAAAATTGATCGCGCTCCTGCTCTGCGCGCAGCGTGTGCTGGGCGCCGCGGGGAGCCGGTCTCAAAAGGAGAAGGCCGTCTCCAATAGAATATTGTTTCATTTCGGGGACAATGGCCCGAGGTGCGGAACAATTATCCGGATAATTGAAGCAAATGCCCCACCTCCCTCCCGC